GTAAAAAAGTAGTGCCTTATAATCAGTATAATATTAGCAATGCTATGACTGATCGATCACAATTCAAACAAAATGGTCATCAAATTATTATCAACACTGACCAATAACGTCAAATTCAACAGTTAAAGTGAGCGGACTTGACGAATGTCGCATTATATGATTTGCTTCTTCAACAGTGCCATTTGCCGTATACCATTCATTAATAGTCAAAACTCGATCACCTACTTGCAAGACACCACACCTGTAATTACTCATTCATTAATTACTCATTAATACTACTACTCTGAAGATGCTTTATTATCGAAGCTACAGGCGATTCACTGACCTTTCGGCCGATGAACCTTTTTCGATGTACGATATGAAGAGTGGCATTGGTGTGGAACAACAAGCGGATCCTCCGATGCCGACTCCACCAGGATTAGCTGCAGCTGCAGCTGCTGTTGCTGTTGGCTGCTGTCGTTGCAAAACCAATCCAAAAGCACCTTTTGCATAGCTATGTAACGATACTTCCATTGTTTCACGATGACACACTTGTTGCTGTTGGCTCATCGCTGGTGGTGATGCACATGATAAATATGCAGAGCCTGAGCCTGAGCCTGAGCCATAGCCATATCCGTAGCCACAACCAGATGCACTTGGAACCACTGTTGACATATGCCCATGCAATGAACCTGTAATTAACGACGTCACGCATTCACATCTTACAATAAAAAGCTACACTCCTATAACAGCTACATAAAACTTTTCTGAGTAATAGCTGCTGAATCAAGAGAATACACAGTTATATCCATCCATTCATCACACACCTACCTATATGTAATACTTACGGTCTGATTGACACTTACTTTAGATAGAGCGATATCGCAGATAAAAGAGCGATATCGCTAGCTAACTGAAACAACTGCTCGCTCTTTAATCTGATCGCTGCATTTTAAAATGCATCCACCAACAAAGCATGCATGATGTCTCTAAAACATTTACTTACTTACTTACTTACTTACTCACATACCCAGCATGTATTTTCTGTGTTCTTCTATGCCAACAACAACTAAGCAGCACATAAATAAAGCAAAATTATCATTTCACAACAAAAAAACACATTCAATTGCGTCACACAACAACCATCGATCGCATGCAACCACCAAACGCTAATGTAAGCTGAAAACTGAACTGAACAAATGAAAAGGAAGAAACGAAAGCAAATTGAGAAATTGAAGAAAAAAAATTTTCGCTCAATCAAATAAAACCACCAAAATCAACTGAAATCAAATAAAATCAACACAACAAAATGAAATCTAAAAAAACATTCATACATTCACTACTCAATTCATCCATCCATCTGTTTATTTAATCACTCGTCAATAAAACATTCGATCGATCATAAAATAAAATAAAATAAAAACCAAAAACAACAAATTGTTTCGTCTTCCCAGCTGACTGCAATCGTTTCATTTTATCAACCAAACATCTCAATACAAACCATACTGATAATAACAATAATAATAATAGACCACGTAAAGCAGTAAAAACAGAACACAACCAACTCGCACTCAGCGTACACATCAGATGAAACGAAATGGGATAGGATCGGATCGGATAGGATATCGATGAGAGCGATCAGAAAATACAATAAATATTATTTATTACAATTTCTAACATTATTATTATTATTATTATTATTATCGAATAATCGCACACCATAACAAAAAACATCTAGTTCTATTTTATTTAACATGTGTTCTATAATAACGACTGTATTAATCTCAGCCACTATTCATCCACTATATAAAAAACTCATCAGATGGCTAGACTAAGCACGCACACCAATTCATTATTTAAATCTCATATCTTTATTATAGCTATTTTGGCTTAGATTTCATTTGAATTAATTCCTCAAATTCTCATCATATAAACAACAATAATAATAATAACTCAAAATCCCATTAAATCAATTTTCATACCCACAAAAAGTAATCAACAACCCGCTTGACAACCCACCCAAACCATAAAATAAAAGTGCGCATAAATTCCGTCTCACTCACGAGGTGGTTCATAACAAACAAATTTTTCTATGCACTACCACTAATAGTAATATGTATTCAGTGATCTAACAAACCGCTCCCTTAAGCAGCTCATTACCACATTTCTATCAGTTGCGATCGGATCGGTCGACTTCAATTTCAATTTAAAATTCATTCGTTCGCCATTTGATCCGATTCGATCTGATCTGATCAGCGACTGTTAATGATTAACAGACGATATGATATGAACAAACAGTGTGTCTCGTGCCTGCCATCTCCTGCCTTCAATCCATCGAGAGCTATTTCATAAAACTATTATATTTCATGCCGCCTGCCTTCTACAATAATTTATTTCACTAGTCATTCAATTAACACGCATGCTTCTTTCTGCTTTAGCACTAACACCATCCACCACATACGTACCTATCTACTGAAATGTTAAAGTTTAATCCAATTATTCCAATCATACAACATTCATTCACTAGCTATCTATCTTCAATCACTAGCTATCTTTCTTTTCAGTTATACACTTACAGTCACCATAAACCACTCTTATATTGTAGGGCAAAATTAAGTCCAATGTACCGCAGCAGCATCATTCGTTTCTGCATTTCACAGACTAGTTTTTTTTTAAATACTGCTGAATCATGACAGTCCCAACATAACTAATATCATGAAAACGTAACTTTCAACTTTTATGAAAACATAACTAATATCAACTTTTAGGCTATCACTGAAATAATGAATACTACTAATATCACTATAATAATAATAATGATAACAATAACTAGCATACATACATATAGACACGCTCATACAGATAAAACTGGTACTGACTGATAAGAAATATAAGCAGTCGTCAGTTCAGAATGAATAAATAATCCTCAGATAGTGATTACTTACATACTTGCCTGCCTGCTTGCTTCACTTAAATGGTGTTTTACCATTTAAGTGATCGATGATGTGATCAATGGTGTGATCCATCAATGAGATATCAGTGCAATTCATCGATGGACGCTCAGAATAGCCTGGTCAACTGAATCACTTACACGCACACCCTCTACATTTACACAAACCCATCAGTACAGTCGAAATTAAACCTGAATTTCTTCCATAACCTACACCACATACGAGACGAGACTCTCTATTCCGGCCGGCACTATCATCAGCACAACCCCCTTCTATAACTACCCTTGACCGGATGCATGGATATACTCACTATGAACTGTAATCTGTCAAGCAATATACAATAATCTATACTCGGCTTATACAAAACACATTACTCTCATCCTATACTTTACACTACTCGTCTAGTTCATAGCAGCACTTCATTAATCACGAATAATCACCACTCTTTTCAACTTTTCAAAAAACAAACAAACTTACTACATAACTAACTACTACTGTCTCTCACTTAAAAAGTAAGTAACCAACGAACACTGAATACAATCAACACAAACAGTGACAGATACTAGAGTTATGACATAAATAAATAAACAACCAGACAAATCAAGTGATTCATGGATGAATGCAGAGTGGAATGGAATGCAGGCAATTCAACTAGACACCATCTATGATGCCTCAACTACACTTGCTAGAGCCTTGCCTTTGGTTGATTGCTCTTCACTAATAAAGCAGCAAACTTTATCACTAAGTCGCTGGCCATATCACACTAACACTTGCCATATCACTCGAATATATCAGCTCAGCACATAACAACTAATACTATCAACAATTCAATAGATCAGTAGTCAACCTGACAGAATCTATTCCAACTTCGCTCATCTTAAATCAACTCGTAATCTTAAATCATTTTTTAAGCAATCTTAAAAAGTAATCTTAAAAAATCAACTCGTACATTTTTTTCCTCTTCACTTCCGTCATCTTTTAATGTTCACCTACTTCAATGTTTATCAGTGGAACGAAACTAAGCCAAGCCAAGTGAAGTCAAGCGAAAAACCAACTCAAAATCTACTTATTTGAAAACTAATTTCTTTGGTTTGTGTTATTGACGATTGATTTATGTATTAATCGCTCAATTTCTATGTTCTCTTCATAAACTCATTTCAGCAGTCGTCAATAAATTCATTCTATCATCAGACCAATACTCAAATCTATCATTCATACATACATACATTCTCTCAATACACAAAAAATTTTTTGAATTAACATTGCAGGTTTTTTTCAACGCTATTTTTGAAAAATAACCATTTAACACCATCAGTAATTTATTTGAGTCCAACAACAATACATACTACCATACCGCATTATGTAATTTATTTCATTAGTCCAACACACTTAATCAGTCAACTCACTCTTTACCTATTTATCTACTATCTAAATAAGTGAAATATCTAGATCCAGGTAATATAATCCAGATAATCTACTATCTAAAAGATTATCAGTTTGTAGCATCGAGCATTTGTATGTAAGATTCGACGTGATCCTATCATCTTACGCCTTACTGTTATATAACTAGTAACAATATGAAAACATCAAAAACTTACTAACGCTTGCAATGCCAGCAATACCGGAGTAATGAAAACAGATTTTGAACATTGCTTTGTCTGAACTTTAGCAATCTAATATAATTCAATACGCCTTTATAACATCACATTAGGAATAATCCGTTCGAAAACGATATAGAATATATTATAGATACTGCTGCAGTAGCAGGTATGGAACTTGCACAATTATCAGGTGTGCTATATGTAGGACGCATCAAATAGAAGAATACAGCTAGCAGGTAATTACCGATTTCAACTTGATTACGAATAAACACTCATGTTTGCATTAAATTAATTAATAATATTAACGGAATTTGAAGTGATCAGCAGTAGTCTGGCATAGAAAGACGATCCGATCGACCAATCGTCCGTCATAAGACGGACTATCGCAAATTACTACTATAGAATAATGGATGACGACGGCGGTTGTTTTAACTAACGTAAAATATGAATATTTGAAGAAGCGCAGCAGATAAACGGAACGAACACGGAATATGAGACGACAGTGTATTGGATTGATTATATAGGAAGTTAAATTTGTTGCTGCTGCAGCAGCAGCTATAGAGCTTAAGAAACGTGGTCGTCGTCTTCTTGAGTTGCTGAATTATTGCATTGTTAAGTGAATTGCGGCGTTTTCAGTTATGAGTTGTTACTTTAGACTACTAACTGAAGTGAAGAACATTGTACTACTAGCTAGAAGATGTATGTAGTATGGAGGTGATGCCTCCTGCCATCTCTCTGACTTTTAATCTCACAACTAACTCTATTAGATTAGAGACACACATACAGAGGTGTATGTATAGGTCAAACCGAACTAAGCACCACACATCAGACAGACGATTAAATGGATAAACGGATGATGGAATAATGAATGGATGGATGAACTGACGGATAAACGGATAAACGAATAGATAGATAACGGCCTCGTCTGGCTGGCTTGGTTAAACGCAATATCTAGACCAATAGCTTGCTGTTGCTACTACTGCTACTGCCATTGCCATTGCTCACCTTAGGCGATCTTACAACTTATTTCTTTCAAGCCCATTCATACTCCTATTACCACCCAAGTGACGACGACAGCTAACTGCCAGAAATAATCTCAATTCGACTAATAAGAACACCAAGTCAGTCAGTCAGCCCATAAAGCTTTTTAAGTGTTCAAATAATCGTAATCATATATATACCAATTCATAGATATATCAAATCAATTCATAGAATATCACGTCAATTCATAACAACAATAAAATAAAACTCACTATTGTTGTGACAACCGTTTTGTTTCGTAGACTGCTTACCGCTAAACTCTCCTCCGTCCAATTGCCGTCGTAAGCTCGTCGATACGACAGACGAAAAACGACGTTTACCAGTAGTGCTATTACTGTTAGCATTATTATTCAAAATATCATTACTCGCACTCATATCCCCACTATAACTACTACTCATCACACTCTGAACAGCACCAGCACCGTGTTCAGACGCGTAATTATAGTGGTGATATGTGGTCGCATCTCCCGATGAGGTAAATTGACCGTTGCCACCGTTCATCGCCGAACCAGAACGGTCTGATGTTCCTGCCTGAGCGCCTGGCTCGAGCCCGTCGCCTTGGCCACCGCCACCACCAGCATCGTCATCATGCCGGATATTCGGCACTGAGCCGCTGATTCGTCGACCGCTAGTTCGCCTAGCGCTCATCAGCTGCTCACCAACGGCTCTCCTCCTGGTAGGTGCATAACCTCGTCGAAATATCACATCNTTTTCTTGCGCGGCTATCGGTTCACTGCCTTCTCGTTGTTGTACTGCTGCAGCTGGTGTCGATGTAGACGGTTGTGATATATATCGCCTGTAAAATTATAATCAACTCAAAGTATCTGGTTAATTTGGAAGAAGTATTGTGTCGGCTCAATTTGGGTTCTCGAATATGATCCGAATATTTAAGTTGCATGATCCACTCTAAGAGCATACCGGCCGCCACAGATATTTGCATTCACATCGTTTGAAGAATGCGTTGATTGGCTCATCAATAATGCGCGATCGTGTGATTTCGCTCTTGGTTGCGGCTGCGGCAATACATGCCTTCGAATCACTAAACATTCTCATTATCATTAATACTTACTGCTTTCATACTATTACTATTAATAGTGAATACCATCAACGGCATAAAATCTTGATTTACAAGGAACATCATCAACTAAATTTTCACTCGAAACAGTTAGAAAGCATTCAAATGCGCTGCTGATAAAAAGTAGTCGTTAGAAATGCGCATTATTGATGCAGCAGCAGCACACCTGTTGGCGATGCGAACATCTCTGCGGTGGAGTGGTAACGATGAGACGGCTCCACACCGGTAACAGTAGCAGCATTTAGAGTACTCTTTCGTGAATATGCCTCTGATATGGCTTTAATCTTTTTCTTTCCATCACCAATCCATGTGAATTTCCTTCAATAAAACTTCATCGTGAATGCCCATCCTCCAAGCGAATTTCATTATATAAATCAGCTTAAGCCAGAATCTTCTCTCACATAGGCAGCAGGCATTAATTGCTGCTGACTTCCTATAACTTTGCAGCAGAAGGGAAATTTGTAGCAATTTGCAAATTCTGAAATGAAATCAATCAATCGATCGATCAGATCGAATCAATAATCAATTAATCAGTCAGTCAATTCAGTTGAATCACTAGTGAACACCGACTTCATGCTGTTGTTGTTGATGAGCATCTGCGAGTGTGGCATAATCTCGAGTCTGCATTTTGCCGATGCACTTCGCAGTAATTGTCTTGCTTCAGCCAGTGTCGTATAGTCCATCGCCAAACCATCCACCGAAATTATTTCGTCGCCACAATGCAACGCTCCACATCTGTCATCAAGTAACTTTCATTTCCGAACCTTCCAAGCCACCAAATCAATAGAATAGCTTACTGAATCTTATATCCAAATTCATCTATTAGGTTATCTTTATCTGATTATTCGGTTTACATTCTCTCATCTGCTATTACCTATCTGCAATCGAAGCTGGTGTGATCGAATCAACAAGAATGGCGCGATGAGAAGGCGATAATGACGACTGTTGGTTGTCATATGGTCGTTGAGCCGTGGTCGTCATCTCATTGCGTCCATAATACTGTTGCTCCAGATCGAGTACCTCACGAATTTGCAGCTCTAAACCCAAATATGCTCCAGGCGCTTTATCAATTTCAACCAACAACGCACCGGTGGCTTTTCGAATGCTTTCTGCAATTAGTTAATCAATCAATAAAGCAATCAATCAATCCATCAATCAATCAATCAATAAATCAAATCGATGAATCAGTCACTCCAGCAGCATAGACTTTCATTAACTTTGCTACTACAGTACAGTAAACGTGATGAATACGACGAACCCGAAACAGACACCACATCGTATTCGATGGTGAGCGTTGCACTGCCTAACGATTCTTCAAGCAAACGCTGTGCAACTGCTAATGTGGCACTAAAGACATCCACACCATTGATACACAACACACGATCACCCACCTGCAGACGACCCTCTCTGAAAATTTTTCAAAAAATTCAAAAAAATCAAAATTCTAAGAACTAAATTACCCTAAAATATTCATTCTAAACATTCTATTAAGAAGTAAACATTCTAAAAATTAAAATTAAAATTCAGATTTGAAGAGCGTAAAAATTTTAAATCATCACTATCATAATATGCACGCAAAAACCAGCCTATGTGCAGGCCCACCAGCACGAATATTTGTGACTGTAATCGGACGAGACTTCTCCCGGTCCGGTCCATACGCTCCACCACGCAGCGTCACACCGTAACTACCCCGTTCCTTTTCGATCACGATATCCGTACATTTACTACTCATCGTATCCTCACCGCATGTGGTGAAACGTTCAAAATCTGCACCAATAAACACTATTATGCAAACTCAACACACTCATTTGGTTAATAAGTACAATACTAATTAAACGATAACAATTATTACTAAACAGTAGTATACTGCGAAACAGTAGCATACTTAACAGTAATTTCATTATTATAATGAGTAATAATTTCAAGTGTTTAATTTCCAAATCAACGCACATTCACTGTTGAGATCATATTCAACTTGTAAGTGTAGATTTGAGCCGGCATTTCGTAGAACTGCTAAAACCTGCTCATGCGTTAACGAAGACACCTGTAATTTCAACCAGTAACAAAAGGATTCATCTGAATACCTGGCTCTAACAAAAAAAAACTCCCGTTCTAGACCGGTATGACTAATTAATTGATATGAACCCACATCGTTAACCTAATACGAATTACAACACCTCATAAACACACCATAATATATCGAAATAGGATGAAGAAATAATTTAATACACATCCAAAATGAATTAACACCGAACCCAACCACACCACCCAACTATACGAAATGAAATGAATGCAATGGCGCCCACTATCAGTATTTAACCATCAACACTCTCGCATCTCTATCATTCCCGCCAAATTTTTTAAATCATATCGCGTTGTTTATCACTACCTTTCCCGCCCAAACTCTCGTCTCTCATATAATCAATTCAGCGATTAAGTGTCTACCTCTTCATCAGTACCATATTATCAAAATCTGTCATCAGATCATCACTTTTTTGCGCACAAATCGATAAAATAAAAATCAGTTCTGATCAATTTGTGCTCTTAATCAACTATTATATTATTTCGTTCATCCATAATAACAATAATAATAGCAGTAATAATAATTATCATTATAACAATGATAATAATAACAATAGTAATAACACTATATATGTGTAAATGAAATAAAAGGTGATATAAATAAATAAATAAATAACAACTAACAGGTATTCCATTTACGTACGTTAATCTCTCACCAATTTGTAACTGATCGCAACGATGCGCAATAAA